CTTAATGATTCTATGATTCTATGACGTGACCAGGAAGAACGATTTCAAATTGGGACCCTGAGTAGCAACAAGCCTTTGAACAAATTAAACGGGAGATAGTTCAGGCAGTAGCCCTTGGGCCAGTCCAGGCAGGACAAGATGTAAAGAATGTTCTCTACACCGCAGCTGGGGTGAAAGGCCCTACCTGTTGCCTCTGGCAGAAAGTACCAGGAGACAGACGAGGACGATCAAGTTAGATCTCGTCCACCAGAGAAAGGGTAAATATAAATTGGGTACGATAATAATGCAGCTTTGTGCATGTGATGAGGTAAGAAAGCATCGTTCCCCGAGGCACTGAGCCTATGCCGAGGTTCCCAGGGTGGGGGCAGAAGCCCCCCACTTCCTTACAAAATAAAACCTTGCACAAGGCGCTGCTCATTCTGAGTATTTCTTAACAAACTTCTTCACTGAAAGAGTGGTCAGGCCTTGGAACAGGCTGCCCGGGGAAGTGGTGGAGTCCCCATCCCTGGAAGTATTTAAAAGACGTGTAGATGAGGCGCTTAGGGACATGGTTTAGTGGGCATGGTGGTGTTGGGTTAACGGTTGGACTTGATGATCTTAGAGGTCTTTTCCAACTGTAATGATTCTATGATTCTATGATTCTATGATTCTTTCCTGGCTCTCCTCTGCGCTGCAGGAGGAGCCAGAGCAGCAGTTTCCAGTTTGTTCGAATGACCCACAGTCAGCAAATCCAATGGTTTGCATGCCAAGGGCTTCAGCGCTTTCCCTAGATGTTGTTTTAAATTCACCTTCATCCTCCTTTCTTAGCAATGAAGTTGATAAACATTAGCAAGTATAATTTACATGTAAGTTGGGCAGCGTTTTCTAAAACCATAAATGGTACTATGAATAAGAAACATGTTTCACCAAAGACAGTGTCCTTGCATTTCTACCTCTCCAGCCTGTGACCAAAGGGAATATTGCATTTTAGTCCATAAAGCAGATTACAAAGCCAAACCAGCACGAGTGCATCTATCAAGCAGAGGAACGACACCACCGACACATTTTAAATACACCCAAGTATGGTGTCCTGGTTTCGGCTGGGATAGAGTTAAATTTCTTTCTGTTTTGGATTTAGTATGAGAAGAATGTTGATACCACACTGATGTTTTTAGTTGTTGCTAAGTACCTTGCTAGTCAGGAACATTCAGCTTCCCATGCTCTGCCAAGTGCACAAGAGGATGGGAGGGAGCATAGCCAGGACAGCTGGCCAATGGGGTATTCCATACCATGTGACGTCATGCTCAGTGTATGAATGGTAGGCATTCCCAGTAGTAGCGATTGCTACTTGGTTATCGGTCAGCACGGGTGGTGAGCAATTGCATTGTGCGTCACTCATTTTGTATATTCTAACGTTATTATTATTTCCCCCCCCGCCTTCCTTATTTGTTCTATTAAACTGTCTTTATCTCAACCCACGAGTTTTTTTTTTTTTCACTCTTACCCTTCTGATTCTCTCCCCATCTCAATGAGGGGGAGCGGGGAGCGAGCGGCTGCATGGTGTTTGGCTGCCTGCCAGGTTAAACCACAACACTTCTAAAGGGCTAACAGTAATACAACAAAAGCAACTGCCAGGCTGCACTCACGGGTTAATTACAGATTCTGCAGAATAGGATGAAACATGGTAGTGTGCATAGTTGCAGTGGCTGCACTAACATTTTGTGAATCTGAATGTTCGGTGAATTGAATGGTGACATCTGCTAGCCCAGAGGTGTTCAGATAACGTAACCTCTCTGTGCAGGTGCTGTTGTCTTGCTTTAAAATCTTTTGAGAGTAGCATGGAGCAACAATGGAAGATAGGGGCCCATGTGCGCACACAGAATGGAAAGCATGTGAAGAGACTGAGAAGACTGTGTGTGAAATCCTAATGAGTGCCTGCCATTTCTTATGTTGGCTCGGTTTGAAAGCTGTGTATTTCTTTTGTGCTTGGTATTTCAGTCCCTTCTTAAGTGGCTGGATTTGGGACCTAAAATAACACTGGATTCTAAGATGAAATTACCTAACAACCTTTTGTATTTTTCCCAGTGTGTCTGTGTGGTTTTTATATATATATATAAAAAATATATATATATGTGTGTGTATATATATGTGTATATATATGTATGTGTGTGTATATATATGTGTATATATATATGTATATTCACATGGGTGGCATGAATTCACTGCTCAGAAGAGGAAATAGTTTTGTGGCTTTGCATGGTGTACAGAAAACTAGGAAGCTGGATTTCCCATTGCAGCCTTTGCTGCTTTTCATGAGATGACAACATAAGTTTGATGGGAATTAAATCTTTTCTTCTTCTTTTTTTTTTTTCCCAATTCTGCCACTAATTTGTGTGATGGTAGGCCAGCTGCTCTATCTCAGAGACTTCCAAACATGTGGAGAGGTCACTGTGTTGAGTGTGATGGTTTCACCAAAGAGTATCCCAGAAATCCCAATTCAGTCATTTATCTCCTTTCACTCATTGTACCAAGTGCAGCTGATTATCTAAGCCATGCTCCTGGAGAACTTATCTATGAAGTATCTGGTGTTTCACCAGACCAATTCCTTCTCTCCTTTGACCCTTAAGATCTGTTAACCTTTGCAACTAACCTTCATCCCTATTCCCCCTGACAGACGGTGTCCCTGTGGGGAAACTCAGGGCGCATGGAAATGACAGCTTCCAAGTTCATGGACATACAGCGGGTCATCCAGCCAGACTGGTTCCAGTGCATCTCTGATGGAGACACCATTTCTGGGGAAGTTGGTAGAAAAAGGGCCAAGAAGGCTGTGGACAGGTCTCTCTCCTTCCTGGATGTATGCCTTCAGCTGCTAGAAAAATCACCGGTAAGGTCCCCACAATATCAGGGCAATAGCACCACAACTGCATTTTGGTCTGTGCTGTATCCTGGGCCAGTCCCAGGACGTGATTTAGTAGGAAATCATGTCACGTGTTTGTGTCAGAGAATGTCCAGGTGACAATCCTGGACGAGGTATAACTAGTATCACAGTGGGTTTTCCTTCTGCCACTCTCTTCTTTTAATAACTTGTCTTCTGCACCAGGATACCTATCTCTCTAGTTGAGGCGAACTTTTTTTTAATTTTTTTTTCCGCTTTTGGAATGTAGTGCATTTCTTTCACTTACCTTCATGCTATATACATGGGCAAAGTAGGATCTTCTCATTCAGATTGAGAAAACCCATGTTTTTGCTCTGAACTCTCCTCAGTTCCAAGTGAGGGAGGACTTGCTAGAATTTGCCAGTGCTATTCTTTTTTCTTCCAGCAGCTTTAAAACTTCCCTCCCTTTTGCTGGAAGTGGACATACTGTTTGAGCCTGTACTACAAAGGAAAATGGGTGACAGGAGCTGATACTGGTATCCCCCGAAAGGCAATTCACTGTGAGATCTGGTGTCTGAGAGCCAGGATAATGGCACCTGCTTTGTATTCTGCACTGACACCTGTAGTGCTGAGGGGCCATCTAAAAAAGCCATGTACAAAGATGATCTATGGTTATTGCCTTCTATAGGGAGGTGGGAAGAATGGTACCAAAATTCTCAGTGAGTAGTGTCAAGTAAGGAGCAGAATCTTGTCTCTCCTAATCCCGTTTCTACCTTACACTTGGACTTCACAGTGTTGTGTGAGGAATAGTCTTACATGGGATGAAACACTGTGGCTCTGGCAAGTTCCTGGGAATGTGGGGGTTAAGTAGCAGGCATCTGGAGTCTGGGCTGTAAATTGTCTTGCATGTCTTTGGCAGAGCATGCTCTAACACTTGTAGCTTTCTTCTGGGCCAGGAACTACAAGGAAGTGTAATGTTTGGGGCAATTGAAGGTGGCGATATCTTGGAAGAGAGGCTCAGATCAGCCAGGGAGACTGCCAAGCGACCTGTAGGTGGCTTTCTGCTAGATGGCTTCCAGGGATTTGCCATGGCCAAGGAGACCAAGTTGAAACTGATAGCTTCTGTCACAGCAGAGCTGCCAGAGGATAAACCAAGGTAAGTTGTGTGGGCAACATCCCAAGAAGTCCATCTGTCCTATTATGAGGAGCATCTACAGGCTGCTGTGCAATATCACTGTAGGAAATAATCACTGTATTGCACAGCTCTGTGTGTGTGCCAGGCTGCATAAATTCTACTACTGTCAGGCGGCAGTCCTCAACCCTTGTTTCAATTTTTAGCTGCAACTGGCACCAAGCTGTACGCATGCTGTGGGTTTGAGTATTCCCCACATTTGGAGAATAATGAAGATTTTAGTTCCAGTCGTCTTTACTTTTTTTAGGAAGCAGGATATGTCTGGGCTGCTTGCATTTGGCCTCTGAGGCCATGGTTTACTTAAGTTCAGCTTGAACAAGAACATTATTATCAACCTATTTTACAGGGACCTCTTCTCAGAAAAACTGTCATGTTTCCAGTTCTCTCTGGTCTGAACTGGAGGAGGGCAGAGAAAGGTGCTGACAGAACCAGCCAGTGCTTACATGATCTTATGGCAGCCAGCTCTGACCTAGTACCTGGAGGCGCTGAGCCTGTGAACTACCAGAGGTGGTACAGTCTGGCCCAAAACAATTGTATTCTCTGCTTGGACTGGCATAGTGTGGGGATCGTTGTATATTCTGAGTTGTTGGTTATGCCCATCAGATCCATGCCAGAGACTGGACAGGAGTGGCAGCATTCTTGACTCTTATAAATGACTAACAGTAACTAAAGATTTCCATAAAATGTGTGCTAATATTTGCTAGTGGTTCAGAAGTGGAGGGGTCTCTTAGCATTGGGTTGAGCTTGCTGGCTTTTGCATGGGTTGTTCTTACAAGAGCAGCTGCAACAGAAGTAGTATGGGTGCTTTTTTCATCATTTCCTGAAGAGAGTGACTCAGGCCCCATTGTCTTTCTGTGGCTGCCCTCTGCTAGCTGAGCGTTGCTCTGGCCTAATGGTGTTCAAAAGGAAATTAGATGGGAAAGCATGTGTCTGGTGTTGCAGCTTGTTCATGCTTAGCAGTGCCTGGGGTTTGAATTTTCCTGACAATTAGAAGGCTTGCTGTGTTGTTGCCATCCTGTCTGGTTGAGCTACTTAAAAAGATCCACTGGGAGCATTAGAGTCCAATTTGCTCAGCTAACCTTAGTGGCTACCAGTGCATCTGCCTCATCTATCAAATAGTTTGCTTGTCTGGTTAAGACAAGTGTTTCTGACCTCTGTAGGAAGAAAGCTGGTTAGCCCTAGGGGGTCTTGTAAGTACCTCAAGTGAATTTCAGACAGTCCTGCTTTCCTGAATTCCATTCTGGCTGGAGAAATTGTTTTGCAGCTGTGTTCTACCCCAATATGAAATTCTCTGGAATACAAACACTTTCTGTGCTTCACCCAAGAAGCGATTGCTTTTTGTGTGACAGTGAAATGATCTTACGAATGTTCTCTTCAGAGTCCTTTCATGTACCTAAAGATGCTGAAGTCTCTTGGTAAAATTTATTTTCCTTTTCAATAGCATCAGAACCCTTGCAAGAACAAATGTTTGTCCTTACTTGTGCACAGATAAGTTTTAGCAAAGGTTTTGATCATATATGCAGAGATACTATTTTAACTGTTGAGTATCATTTTCTCCCTGCCATGAGAGCCTGAAACATAAGACACTTATGCTGTAAACTTCTCCCATCCTTATTCTGCACTCATCAATTTAATTGGAGTACTTAGAAAAGTGACTAAAAATGGCACCTTGTGACTTCATTTATCAGCCCCTGTGTATTTTCCTAATTATCTGTTTAGATCATTGCCCTACATTAGCTTCTACTGCTGTCAGCCAAGCCATGCACCTGCAGGAGAGCAGGCACTGCTCTAGTCTCTTCTGCTTCACCCACCCTCAGGGAAGCTGCCAGCTAAATTTGGCTAACAGCAGGATCTCTATTACCATCGATGGCAATCCAGCTGGGCTCTTCCTGGCTCTTAATGCCGTGTCCCAGGAGATGTTACAGCCAAGGTTTTTGGGTAAATCATTTGAGCAGGTAGAGTGTAAAGAGGAGGGAAGCATAAAGCAAGGAACTTTTCTCTTTCCCGTGACATTTCTCATTAGTGCATTCTCCTCCAGGCAGTTCTCCGAGTGCTCTATGATGTGTGTGTCACCTGAAGGACTTGCATCTTTGACCAGCCATCTACTGCTGTCTCTGGTGCTCTTGGTCAAGTATTTTTAGTCTGTCTCCTAAACAGTTACCAAGGAAAGGGGTCCATGTGTCTGGAAACTGGTAGCTCCCTGGGGCACAAACATGACTAAGAAAAATATCTCTTCTACACATAGATGTTAGGTGAATATTGAATCTAAGTGTATTTATGTGTGTGTGAAAGAAACCAAATCACTTCAAACATAATGAACAGAATGAGTTTCTTCCGCAGTAAATGAGGGATTATTGCTGTCTTCCAAAGGGCAGATAAAGAAAAGCCTGCCACGTACTGGATAGATCGGAGGTGGGGAAATGGAAGCACACAGGATTCTGAGTGATGACTGTTGTACCCACTTGCCTTCTGGTTAGCAGTTGCAGGGATAAGCTACACGTGTTGCACATGTGTCTTTTCTTTCAGGTACCTGCTTGCTTCTACTCAGAATATTCTAGATTTGTCATCTTGTGTGTCTCTTACAGAATCATCCACGGTGTAGGCAAACCAGATGAGGTGCTTGAATGCATTGAAAGGGGAGTGGACATTTTTGAGAGCTTCTTTCCCTTCCAAGTGACAGAGCGAGGCTGTGCCTTGGTTTTCAGTTATGACTGCCATCCAGATCCTGAAGCAGCAGGTAGGCTTCTTGATGGTCATTCTAATTTCTACTGTATCAGCTAGTATTGTGGCAAGCATAATTCATGCTTTGGAGGAATCTATATTTGAGTTTTTTGTTCCTGAAGTAAGTGCAGTATCCACTGGAAAAACTGGGATTCCACTGTCAAGTGTTGCTTTTGAAGGTGGGGTATTTTGGTGTGAAACCTCTTGAAGCGAATTTGAGACCTTAGCCTAGGATCTGAATGTCTGATTAGCCAAAGTATGCTCAAGTATTTCTTAAACACTTACTGAATAGAGGGATTTTTGTTCGACACCATTGGCAAATTTTCTGTTACCATTAGCAGTGAAGGCTGGACCTATTAAGTGGAGATCTAAGATACTTGATCTCTAAAATTAACTGAATATGTGTCTGTTTTAATAATATATTTTTGAAGTCCCTTCTTTCTAGCTGACAAAAGTTAGGGATCCCATTTCTTTGGGTAGCTTTCCTCTCTGTCCTTGGATTCATCAGTTCATATCAAAACAAAAAGGAGATGTTCATAACTCATTACCTCACTACGCTGTGAGATGGGAGCATGCGTATGTTAAAGCATCTATGAAATGTGTTTCAAGCAACAGTTTTGTTTTGGCCTATTAAATGTTTTTAATACAGAAAGATATTTCACATTTTTTCTCCTGGGTAGAACCTATTGGCTTTTCAATCCTGGATAATTCAAAACTAGCTGAATAGAACAGAACATCTTGTTTCTTTGTGCTTGCTGCTATTTTTTTAACCCTTCCCTTTGTTTGCTGTTCTTCACCTTGTCTCACCTTATTCTTACATCACAAGATTCTGGGTAAGGACAGTCTCTTTGTTTTGTGTCTGTTTAACACTCAGTAGACATGGATTGTGCAAACAGTAATATTGATATTTCCAGATACATCTCCTGCTTAAGAACAAACCTAAAAATGCAAGCCTACAAAATTATGGGGTGATTTTTTATTTTTAAGATAGACTGCTGAAAAGGCAGATGTGGAATCTACATCTTCTGCATTAGTGCTACCAGCCTCTTCTGATTCCAATTGTTTTTTAAAAAAAAAAAAAAAAAGCAAGCATCTAAATCTCTGAGCCTGATGGCAGTGTGGAAAGTAGAATGATCAAATGCAGACGAGTTGCCTGTCTACTCTAACAAAATCTCAATAAAATCAATTTGTTCAGGTGATTGCATTCTATTCAGCATGCAGTTCAGAATTTGTGTTAACTAACCCATGACAATTAAAGAAAAATAGTTGCTTACTATAAGAAAGAGGTGGAAACTTGTGGCAGGAGTTTTCATCTGGCAAGAGAGTAGCAGAAATACCTACTGTAAGGTTGCTACCCTTCCTCTGCCCTTGCTGTGTGTTCATAAAAGGCTGTTGTCTTTTTATTTAAAACAGTTTTAAAACAAAATGGGGCCCAGGACCTGGAGAAGAATGGTGCTGAAGAAGACCAGGATGAAATCTCCAAAGCTGACCCAGAAATGACACCATTTGAGATATTTCTGAAGGACAAAAGGTACGTGAGTTTGTGAGGAGGGTACCTGCAGTTGTATCACTAAATATGATGCTTTTTGTTCTCTGTATTTGATTGCATGTGGTCAGTGGTCAGCTGGATGGGAGGCTTCATAAAACGTGAAGGTGTTGAAGACAGTACTTCTGGACATTGAATGGAGAGTGTTGGACAAGCGTTGTAGCTTGTTATCAGGCAACAGTGTATGGCTGAAAGCATTGTCTTTTGCCTGACCTAAAGCCAGGGATTTTCTAATCATTTATCCAGCAGACATACTGTGGTCATAACTGTGTTCCAGCTGAAAGACAGTAGCTTCACAAAGGTTGTTTGGGGATCATTTTAGTCTTCCACAACTAACTTGGGTCATCTTGAGATGCTAGATTTTATTTAAACTACGGAGAGCCTCCACTTTCTGACTCAGTTTGGGCAGCTACAGAGCAATTCTGCAATTTCTGGATACTTCACAAAAACTTTGACCAGTGTTACCACCTGTCCTTCCTTCTCTTTTCTACAGCTACCACTAAGCTGTCTGAGTAGAAAACTGTGTTGCTTTGCTCGATCCTCCCTCCACTTTGTGAGAATCGTGCATCTCACAGTAAAGGGGAATACTGTTTTGTGAATAGTGGAATCAGTAAATCCTTGTTTCTGATAGCTTCCTCCTTCATAGACTGTGTGATAGCTAGTGAGGCATGTCTTGGGCTGCAGCTTTTCTGTCAGGGAAGGCACAGATAAGGCCTCTCTCTGCTGTTAGCTGTGATGCAGTCAGTTGTCCTCTGACTGAGATGTGTGGCCTTTTGGCTTTGTAGTGAGTTCTGGCGTGATATTTGAAGTCCTTCATGCCAGTGGTGCTGGTCTTAGATGTTAACATATCTTTCAGCAGCTGGATTCAGGCCCTCAGGACTTCAAGGCTCAGGTCCCTGCAAAAGGCCATGTAGTAACTGGATACTCTTTATTGCTTGAATGGGTCTTCTTACCTTTGATGTTGTCCAACATTGCTTCCTCCTTAGATACCAAGATGATTTTGGTCCTTTGCTGGAAGGATGCACCTGTTACTGTTGTCAGAGGCATACTCGTGCCTACGTCCATCACCTCCTCGTGACCAATGAACTGTTGGCCGGTGTCCTGCTCATGATGCACAACTTCCAGCACTATTTCAGTTTCTTCAGTGCCATACGGGATGCCTTAAGAGAAAATAAACTGGATCAACTGAAAAAGCTTGTCTTCAGGCAGGCACTTCGAGGCCCAGCAAATGCGAAGCCAGGCCAGTGAGTTCAGAGAGGATAGAGGAAGTTGTAGGCTACATCCTTATGCAGTGGGACTGTGTAAGGTGGACTGCAGCAGGGTCACTTGGACCTGTTAGTAGTAAAATGCCTTCCTTCCTGCAGGGAATTGAAGGAGACATTTGAAGATCATCTCACTTCCTGGTGGGGAAGGAAGATCTTATTCAAACGTCCCTTTTGGTTAATTGGCTTGGGGCATTCTTGGGGTATGGAAGAGCCTGAGCAGCTCACAAGACCAGTATGGATAGCTTTGTTTTCAATTTACTCACTGTTGGTTTTCCATGTGGAAGGACAGAATTATTGAACTTGTGATTGAAGAAGCAGAGCATGTATTTAAAATTAATCCAGCTGCTGACAGGAGGCTCAGCAGCTGTTTGGGACTCTCATTCCATACCCAGTGCATATTACAGGTAATTATTTTTCTAGAAAATCCCAGTGGTGTGGTTGTCCTGTCATGCAGCTCCTTCATGAGAGATCCTGCCTCAGTCTAACACACTGTTCCTTGTGGCCACTGCCAGCATCTGTTTCCCTGAAAAGAACTGACTGGAAGTGCTGCTGTGTTCAGTGGCACAAGGGACTGTATGTGTACTTCTCTCTCAGGCTGCCTGCAGTGCAGAATGTTCTCTGGGCCAGGAGGAGGCCCTCTACCTCGACCTGGCCTTGAAAACCCCTGCCTCAGGAGTCCTACTCTGTGACATTAGAGGCAGAAAGAAGAGAAGACATGTTTAATCCACGACCTGCTGTAGAGGGGGTTTTTTGACTCTATAGCCTTTCACCTGTCTGGACTAAGATTTCACTCCCGCAGTAGCATGTGGATGATAATGAATGTGCCATTCTTTCCAACTGTCCTAGCACTGGTCAAATAGCAGGCTACACAAATGTCAGTGTGAGATGGAGCTGTGGAAGAGATGTATTGCAGGAAAAGGCATTTAGAGAAGATTCTTGTGGCTCCTTGTTTTAAAATATGACTTAGTTATGTCGCATTCCTCTTACTCAGGTTTTTTTATGCCCCTTACTTTGGAATCCTGGATTTATTCATTTTATGTTACAAGGCAACAATAAAACAATTTTATTATTCATTACACTGGCTCCTCAATATGTGACAGAGGTGGTATACAAGAGTGCTTGAGTGCAGTGCTCAAGAAGATGTCTCCTGCAAACTTGACCTAGCAGCCTGATGGAGGACAGTGACTCATCTAGGAGTAGGATCCTGTCACAGAGCAGGGGTCCAAATAATTTGCTTCAAAAGAAGCCGTATAGACCTGGAAGTGTTAATGACACCTGCCCATCCCTCTCCTCATAAGAACTCTCTACCTGAATTAAGCTTAAAAAAATACTACAGTTAAAGTTGCTGGCCTTAAAGCAATTACGGATTAATCTGCAGTTTGTTCTTCTTCACTGTTTCTTTAATGTTTTAAGATTTTAATATCTTGCATCAGAATGACTTTACCATAGAGTATAATGAGTTTTTAGCTTCCCTGTCAGCATTGCCTGTACATCCCTGTTTCCTTGGGCAGATACACAATGGTGTCAGAGTCATTTCTACCATTCCAGCCTTATCCCCTGTGTTGCACTAACTGCATTTCTTTTCCATAGGATCCTAAAGAAATAGAATCATTAAGGTTGGAAAAGACCTCTAAGATCATCAAGTCCAACCATCAACCCAACACTATCATGCCCACTAAACCATGTTCCTAAGCGCCTCATCTACACATCTTTTAAATACTTCCAGGGATGGTGACTCCACCACTTCCCTGGGCAGCCTGTTCCAATGTTTAACCACTCTTTCAGTAAAGAAATTTTTCCTAATGTCCAATCTAAACCTCCCTTGGCGCAACTTGAGGCCATTTCCTCTCGTCCTATTGCTAGTTACTTGGCAGAAGAGACCGACCCCCACCTCGCTACAACCTCCTTTCAGGTAGTTGTAGAGCGCGATGAGGTCTCCCCTCAGCCTCCTCCAGGCTAAACAGCCCCGGTGCAAATGGTGCAAAGAATGCTTTACTGTTGTCTTTAAACAGAAATTACGGGGAATAATTCAGCCACAGAAACTACATAAAATACAGGACTAATATCCTCACTCCGAAAAGTATGTTATGATTGTTAATGTTGATGCAGCACTGGGCAACTTGGAGATACTGGGCATACAGTGTGAGGTAGAAGGTCTAACATTTTCAGGATCCACCTGTCTTAAAGGGCAGGGAATTCTAATGAAACAAAATGTTTTATGCTTCTTTCAAGAGGAATGCAGGATATGATGGTAGTGTTGGGACCTTGCAATGCTTGTTTCTGCAGTGTCTGTTTCTACATTGTTGTAAGTGTCAGTGCAAAACCTTATGGGAGGGGACAGTGACTATTTTAAAACTCCTTCACTCACAGTTTTGAATCTGCATGCTTACAATCACTAAAATGCATGAGTCTGCCTGGCATTCAGGCACCACGATGCTTGTGTCCAAGAGGTCTGTCATGGGTCCTCTGTGAAGACATGGAGGATAAGGAATGCTAGCTATTGTGTCCTCCTTGCATTGCCTGCATTCTTCTTAGGTTGGTAGCCTTATTGCTAGTTTTGGAAGTGCCTTTTTGTACCCTTTGGGAGCTAGCTGTGATCAGTCTCCCCATCCTGCCCCACCTCTGTGAATCGTTAGGATTTATTCATTTTCCTTTGTCTACCAACCTGGGTGTCCTGAGAAGCTGCACGTAGCTGTACTGGGATCTTAGTGACCTGCTAAGCTAAGTACCAATAATGTGCCATTCTCAATAACCCTTCTGCTCTTCCTTCTGGCTTTCCAGTCTTTCCATGCTGCTGTGTTCCTGTTCATTCTCCAGTTATACTGACCAGGTTTTCCTGGTATGGTTCTCTGCTTAGCTTGTGCGTGTGTGCATGTGTGTACCAGAGCTGCACAAAGTGAACAATTTCCTACTGGGCAAAATTTGATCAGGTACATATGCTCATTATCTAACAAACAGTAACAAACTGCACTAACCCTGAAACAACCTTAATGTGTTGTATTTATACAAGTTTTCAATCTATCTGTCAGTCCTCCTAGTTCACATCGTAAAAATTGAGCAACATTCTTCATGTTAACTTAGTGTTGTGTTTTATTTCCAAGCAGAGATCTAATTTCTTTCAAAAACAGAATTCTTGCCCTAATATGGGGAAGGAAACTACATGAAGAAAACTAAACTTTTCATGGAGAAGTGAAAATTGAAATGAGTAAGGAGTGGAAAATTTTCTGTGCTAAATTAACTTAACTTAGCACAGCAGACTGCAAAAACATCCTTGACTGCCGTCCGTCCCCAAATGGCAGAATGCAAAAGAGCAGAGCAGAGTACAAAAGAGATGATGTGTTACAAAAACATTAGACCCTTGAACATCTTTCCCTCAGCAACTCTTAGTGTAACCTTCCCCTCAATAATGAAAAATCTTTCATGCTCATATGTTTCTGATGAGAGTAACTGGCAGGGCCACATGTTAAATGTTAAGTCCTGTGTCTTTCTGACTGCTTCATCAGTATTCTGCTCAGTAACTTACTCCTTTCAGAGCTATTTTAATATTGCAGGCTCCTTAGCAGTTTCAAAGGTATGCTTTAAAATGTGTTAAGGGAAAAAAAAAATCAAACTGGTTTATCACAAAAATGTTTTCTCCTTTCCTTCAGGTATGTCATTTTTTCCCCAATACATTCACCCACCCCATCTATCCTCTAAATTACTAGGACACGGTATCCATGAGAGGTTGTATCATGCCTTGTCTGATGGTTTCTAGGTCTGCTCTTCTGTGGCTCTATGGGATTGCAGGAGCTGCCCAAGACTGGAAGCCTTCCAGCAGGGAGTTCAATTTATTTCTACATCTCTTAGGTCCAGAGGGCTTTCAGATCGTGGGATTTTTATGCATAGAAAAATCAGCTCCAGGTATGTTTCAGAGGTGCTTTTAATCATTGAGTAGCTATTTTTTTTCTTCCTGAACCCTGTTGATTTTTGATTCATATCCTGAGTTGGCAGGGAAAGGGCCCCAGTAAAATGTTTAAACCTTCCTCTCAGTAATTTCAGAGAGGTTTTCTTTGTGATATAGAAAGCATACACAAAACAGATGATGGTGCAGGCCAAATGGTCTTATCTGTAGTACTCTGGGGTGATCTACATAATTCACTAGGGACCTCATCTCTTTTCTGGTAATGCAGCACTCACTTCTTCAGACCTTTAAAGATGTTCAAGCACATGTTACCCTCCTTCCTTAAGCACGTTCTGTAGGCATGATAGGACTTTTCAAACAAAAAGAGAATGAAGTTAAATCCCTTTGAGAAGTTGGATCTAGATTGGTCAAGTTGGTGCTGGCACAAAAGTGGTTAACATTTTCCTGCAGCAAGATGTTCTTGTTTCCCTGTTGATGTTGCCAGTGTGAACGGCCTCTGTCAGAGTGCACAGTCTCCTCTCCGGTGGCATGTTGGCTGGGAAAGGCAATACCTTCCCTGCCTCACAGTGAGGTGATGATGAACTGCCTGGTTACTTCTACATCTGTCGTCTGTACGATTTAATTAGGCTGGTCAGGTGAAGGTGCAACACAGTGGGATGCTCTGTCATGCTTCTGACGTACCTTCTCCAGCTCCTGGCCTTGCTCACTCCCCATTGTTTCAAAAACTTCAGAGAAAACCTGCTCTGTTTGGCAGCTCTTTGTGTGTCTGAACATCTTGCAGAGCTCTTTGGGAAGCAGGTTTGGATGAGAAGAGGTTATCTGGTTAACCAGGGGTATTTCAAACTTCAGCCTGCAAATTTAAGAAGCTATGTAGTGGGGACAGGGCCATATGTAAAGAAATGATAACTAGAGGCACCTAGATCTGCCAGACAGCTCAGGATTAGCCAGCTTCCTGTCTTCCCTATCCCCCTGCTACTGTGTAAAGCATTTTCTGGTCAAGGGGGTGGCCAGTGCGCTGGGAAAGGCAATGGCTATGGTTCATGCCTGTGGCTCTACACAACAAGGTGTATCTCACCCATCTG